CTTCTTGCCTTTTTAAAAAAATGTAAGAAGTAGAAGTAAAAAGTAGACTGAAAAATAATTACTCAAGTAAAGTGCAGATACCCAAAAGTTCTACTTAAATACAGTAACAAAGTATTTGTACTTAGTTACTTTACAACTCTGGTTGTGTTATAATGCTGTATACTGAACCTTGGTTTGTGCCTCCAGTCAGTTTTGTGGTTTCAAGTTTATTTTAACTGAGTCAGATTATTCATTCTCAGGTTTACACACTTCAAAACAACTTGATTCTTTGTATGTATTGTTTATGATTTAGCCTCGTTACTGCTTATTAGTATACTGTATTTTAAAGAAGGGAACTTTCTTTCTTTCTTTCTTTTTTATTTATTTTTCGAAACTCGTGGTAGGATTTCTTTCGTATTATGGAAACTAAATGCACTAAAATACTTAACCACATGGGAGCCTTCTAGTGTTGGACCCTCTCCATCATCGTGTACAAACTTGTATTTTTAGGTTGAACTAAGAACAAATTCAAACTAAGAATGTGACCTTCTCGTGTGGTATATTTTAAACTTTATTTATTATCTAACCACCTGTAACTGACATGTATTTTTTGCAGGTAGCTGAGTGACACTTTGCCAAGGAACTTCAACAGATTTGAATCTTAACTTTGAACCGGACTAGACGTTTGATGAGTCCAGCTGAATTCGCACACAGGCAGACCTATTCAGGTATTTTACAACAATCTGAGCTACTGGGAATCATCATAATCTTATCAACCACCCACTCTTACTCCACCTTACTTCTCCCTACTGAATAGTTTGGGAGCTGCACTGCTGTTTTCTGCTCTTTGTAAATTTAGAGTTAAGTGCAAACCCTGGTGAGGAGCGCCACCACTCTTCAGTTGGGCTTCAGAGCTCATGATTTTAACACAAGCTCAATGGCCACAGGATTATTTTATTTTCTCATTACAACAGTGATTCTTGGCACCTTTTCCCATTTTCTTTAAACTCTGTGGTGTGGTTGCTAATGGGTGTCCTTGGGCAGCTTAGTTTTTTAGTAACTGATCATGACAGAAATTACAAATGTTATTTATTAGATACATATACATTTTTTTTGCTTTTGCTTTTAAAATAAATTAATAAAGTTGAATATTGTGGCAACATTAAAATCAACAAGTGAAATAATGAAAAAACAAACTGAAATGAGAGGGGAAGCTGAAGAAAAAGAGGCTTTGGACCTTCCTGAAAACAGTAAGCTCACACAAGTCGCAGAAGACAGTGAAGATGACGAAGAGGAGAAAAGAGTCCGGACACCCCGCTATCGCTGGGTTATGCATGCAGCAGTGATGTTTGGACGTGAGTTTTGCTACGCCATGGAAACCGCCCTGGTGACACCGGTGCTGCTGCAGATAGGTAAGCAGTGAAGTATRTTATTTGGGACATGAGTAGAACCTGTTTTACTTCATCTTGAGCATGAAAGCATCGGTGTGTGTGACAGTTCTAAGCACACAGAATGGTCTGAGTTATACATGGTCATGCCTTGATCCACAAATGTAACAGGTTATGGTTTGCATGAATGCACAAGCTGCTCTTTGTTTTTCTTTTAGTGATGTTACTGTAGTCCAGTCTCTGTCTAGTGTCAGGAAACGGCAGGACCCACAATGACAGTTTGCTCCAGGCTTTTGAGTATGGCGTTGACAATATTGGCAATAATTAATCACGATTAAATGTGGCATTTAGCTGGTAACAATTCATTTGACGATCAATAGATGACAATTGCACTTGCATGTTTGTGACTCTAAATTAGTTATCCTGTGTTCTAAAATTATACAAATCATCAGGAGGAAAAAAAATTGTATAGGTCCTCTGGACAGGTTCTTCTCTAATGAAACGTTTCGTCTCTCTTCCAAGAGACTTCTTCAGTCTGAAAGTTTCAGGCAAAATTCAGGCTTTTGAGTCCTGCCTTCAGGTGACTAATACTCACATCACATGGCTATCGTTCACACCTAATTAATACCTATTGTTAACAGGGGGTGGAGTGATACTGCCAGTGGCAGCGCTGTAGGAGGGGGACAACTGAAAACGGAGGCCCCCACCTCTGTTTAATGATGGACGGTCTTTCTTCACAAAAATGGCTTCTTTTACTCCTCTCAAACCCAAACGTTCCTCTCTATCAAGAATGAGAACATCCTCATCTCTGAAAGAGTGACCGCTGGCCTGTAAATGAGTGAAAACTGCAGAGTTCTGGCCATTAGAATTAGCTCGTCTGTGTTGGGACATTCTTTTGAACAGTGGTTGCTTTGTTTCCCCGATGTATAACTGGTCGCAGTCCTCCTGGCACTTAACAGCATATACAACATTGCTCTGTTTGTGCCGGGGCACCGGATCTTTGGGGTGAACCAGCCTTTGCCGTAATGTGTTTTGGGGTTTGAAAGCTACTGGGACATCATGTTTAGAAAATAAACGTCTCGGTTTCTCCGAAACACCCGCAACATTCGGAATAACCACTGGTTTGGCTCTGGGTTTGGGGTCTTCAGTTTGGGGTCTTCAAAGCAACCACTGTTCAAAAGAATGTCCCAACACAGACGAGCTAATTCTAATGGCCAGAACTCTGCAGTTTTCACTCATTTACAGGCCAGCGGTCACTCTTTCAGAGATGAGGATGTTCTCATTCTTGATAGGGAGGAACGTTGGTTTGAGAGAGGAGTAAAAGAAGCCATTTTTGTGAAGAAAGACCGTCCATCATTAAACAGAGGTGGGGGCCTCCGTTTTCAGTTGTCCCCCTCCTACAGCGCTGCCATTGGCAGTATCACTCCACCCCCTGTTAACAATAGGTTTTAATTAGGTGTGAACGATAGCCATGTGATGTGAGTATCAGTCACCTGGAGGCAGGACTCAAAAGCCTGAATTTTGCCTGAAACTCTCAGACTGAAGAAGTCTCTTGGAGGAGAGACGAAACGTTTCATTAAAGAAGAACCCGTCCAGAAGACCTATACAATTTTTTTCCTTTTGATTTTTTACCTGGATTACTGAGATGCATCAGGACATACACAAATCATCAGTCAAACCAACTTTTTAATTTTAACAGTTACGGCCCACCCTGCACTTTTGCTTTCTAGTGCTTACATTGCCGCTCGTATGGGACCGACAGCATCATGGAATCTCGGTTGACTAGATTAGTTTCCACCATTTACTGGAGGAGAATTTGCTGTTAGTGTTAGCTGCTCCATGCTGCCTTCTGCCATTGGACATGTGCACTTGATTAGGGCTGCCACAAACGATTATTTGTRTAGTCGACTAATCACCGATAAATTTTTTCTATTAGTCGAGTAATCGGACCATACGTTTAATTGAATATAAAACATCAAGCTTATCGCACCAGAATGCAGCTGCTGTTATATAACCATCGTTAGATTTTAGCTATATGCTAACTAAAAATAATTGCTGTGGAAGGCAAGTTCTGCTCTGCAGATGTTGCTCAGGTTTCTCTTTCATGTTCTTAAAATGATCCCACATTTCTGAGCTCTGTTGCCAGGTAGCCATGATACCAGAGCCTGTCTGTATAATGTCTTGTGATGTACAGCCTACCCCAGTTACCACTACTGTGCATGTGTGTCAAGGACAGAAAGGCAGATGTGGCAGTGGAAGGTGTCAAAGCAGTTTGGAGAGAAAAACAAAGTAAAGAAGAAAAAAAAAACCAGACAAATCGACTATTAAATTAGTCATCGACTGTTTTAATAGTCGATTAGTTGTCGACTAATGGTGGCAGCCCTACACTCGATAGTGAAAGTGTGCCACACACAATGTCATCATCACACAACACTAATTGCAGTAATTGCAAAGTGGTAAATATGAATTTTTGACAAACACGGTAAGATTTTTCCCAACCCTACTCACTTCCTGCTTAAAATAATCATTTGGTTTGTGATGGTCATTAGGGTTGGGCAATATTGGCCAAAAAAAAAATCACGATTAACTGTYGTATTTAGCCGATAACGATTAATATGACAATTAATCCCCTGAGGTCTCTGGATGCCCTCATATCCTAGTCACGTGGAAATATTAATAAAAAATAAACTTATTTTAGCAAATATACAAGGTTATATTAGAACCTGGTTGAGTAATTTATTCAGAAAAGGTTTAGGCTCGTACTGTCAATTTTTTWAATTTTTTTTCAGTACGTATTTCCTGTGAGTTTTTAATAAGAACTTATTTTATTGATAAGTATGAAAAGTAGTTTTATTTTTAGCATTTTTAATTTAAATTAATATCAGTCCACTTTTTAAAAGAACYATAGTTTCACATCTGTAAAAAAATTAATTAAGGTTTCATGTTTTAACAATAATTGACTGCTTGTCTCATTTTGGCTGTAATCTCAGTTAATCTCTCATTTAATAATAATTTAACCTCATATGTATTCTAGGGCTTCCAGAGCAATATTACAGTTTAACTTGGTTTCTCAGTCCCATCCTGGGTCTCATCTTCACACCACTGATTGGCTCGGCCAGTGACCGCTGTACTCTGCGATGGGGCAGGAGACGACCATTCATTCTGGCTCTGTGCATTGGTGTGCTCTTCGGACTGGCGCTGTTTTTAAATGGATCCTTGATAGGTAAGTAGGAGGATTCATATGAGCTCACTACCCCCGCAGCATGCAAGCTACGAAGTTTGATTCAGCCTGTGTATACCTGTGGTTTTCTTTTAGGGCTTTCCATCGGCGACAGCCCAAACAGCCAGCCAGTTGGCATCGTTCTCACTGTTTTGGGTGTGATAGTGCTGGACTTCAGCGCTGACGCCTCCGAGGGGCCAATCATATCTTACCTTCTTGATGTTGCTGATACAGAAGAGCAGGACATGGCCCTGAATATCCATGGCCTTTCTGCTGGTAAGACATATAGTATTTATAGTATATTTACGCATGCCCACAAAGCTACGCAGTAGTGTTATAGTCAAGATCAGGGATTCTTAACCTTTTTGACCTCGGGGCCCAATTTGTTGAACATATAGTGGCATGAGGCCCTTTCAGATATTACCAATGTACGGATCAAAATGATAATTATTCTAAATCTTGGTTTAATTTGTATTGTATTTACATTCTAACTAAATTAAATACACTTAAAGTTTAAAAGTAAAACTCCTGTCAAATAATCACAATACATGATTATGACATTGGAACCTGCCCATGACAATTATTTGGTATTTGATATGGTATGGTATTTGAACAAATACAATGGTCAGTCAACAGACCACTCAGGCTTATCAACACAAAAATAACTTTCTTTTTAACATAAACAATAACAAAAATAGACAATTCAATACATAAAATTGTGGTCATAAAATGAATACATTCAAAATGTTTAATGTAAATGTTTCAAATAAAATAAATTTGATGAAGTGCAAAGGAAAATATAGCCTTTTTAAACTTTTGTATGGTAGAACCAGAAGCTGCTCTTCATAATATTGACAAACAATAACAG